CCCCCCCCCCACTATAGCGGAGGAAGTAATTAGTATGCAGGAGCGGGTCCATTAGAGCGGCGGAAGTAATTAGTATGCAGGAGCGAATAGGGCACCGGAAGTAATGAGTCTGCAGGAGCGAATAGAGCGGCGGAAGTAATTAGTATGCAAGATCGAATTGAGCGCCGGAAGTAATTAGTATGCAGGAGCGGAAAGCACTGGAAGTAATGAGTATGCAATGACATCATGAAAACCGGAAGAAAGTGAATTTTCAAAATGGTGTACAACATTGAAAAATATTTTACAGGAATTTACAATAAAAATGTTTCAGTAATTATAATGTTTTTTAAAGTTTGTGGCAGATGCATCCACTAAAGGTTAATTCGCCACATTCCAATGGAAATTCAAATGTCAGCTTGGCCAGTGTTTCTTTTAGTATTTCCGTACAGTCTTTATGGATCGTTGTTTGACAGCAACGGGTTTTGTTTAGTTCTTGTCCGTTGTTTTTGTTCTGTAAGCACAAGTAGCAGAGTTCTTTGTCCGAGAATGGTGTTCTACAGTACCCGCACCGTACGGTTCCGATGGCTGTGCCATTGTATTGCGCCGCCCACATTTGAAAACATCGACAATGAGCTTTCTGTTGACAGCATTGCACGGTCATCGCAAGTAGTTTTTCCCCGTCCATCTGTCCAAAACAGAAATAACACTGTCCCGGTTCTGCGGTATTTTTCGCCAGGATTCCAAATAAAGGTGGTTGACTGTATTACGTCTTCGGGCGCTGGTAAAATTCCTATACATTCCCGATTTCGATGTGTAACTGATGATTATGGGGAAGTGTATTTAGAGGTGTACGTACACGTACAAAGTGTACGTACACGGTGTACAGTGTACGTACACGGTGTACGTACACCCCGTACATATACCATGTATGTACATGGTGTACGTACACGGTGTACGCGGCGTACGTACACCCATGAACTACGTCATAACCATGCCCATCTCTGATTGGTTAGCTGTGTTTAATGGAGAATATAGATAGAGCGGAAATATGTATAAGCATGCATGGGCATGGAACAGTCTTACGGGAAGCAAGGACGCGTTAAAATGCGTCCTGAGCAAGGTCCCTGGGTCCCGTTTAACAATATATGTATAAGCATCAACAGCTGCTTTCATAGCTTCTTCGGGATCAAAATGATCATTGTCCACAAAGGCATCTTTTGTTTGCATTATTTTCTTATGCACTGGATCGTTCTTTAGTTGTTTCATCCAAGAAAGACGATCCATATAGATACTCTCTAGCTCTTTCTGGAGCTTAGGCAGAATATCAGAGTAAACTTTTTCTCCAGCGGATTGCTCATCCAGACCACTGTGTATCAAATTCATCTTCATTTGCTCAAAACCCGTTTTATACTTTTGCATTGCTTCTTCTACCATTGGCATCCAAGGATCGTTTTCT